GGTTACGCAGCTCCGCTCTATTCATCTGTTGTGGTTTTAGACATCTGCACGCTTTACTCCTACTTCGTTTTAAGCCGTGATTTCAGAATTTCATAGAGTGCTGGTGAAGTTCAGCATGGCCAAATCTCTACATGTTTATTTATTGTATAAATTGCCAGCATTTTTTCTAACTGTAGTTCTTGGCTGCGCCTTACTTCATATTTATTGATTTCAACTTTATCTGTACATTTCTTCTTAGTTTTTCAGCAGTTTTCCATTAAAGTTTTGCTTCAGCGTTTTGGTATAAGAACACTTCTCTAGTAGTGCATGGTGTAACAAGTGATTATGTTTTGTGACTGTAGGGGTTGGGTCCAGCTTCTGCTGAAGGCTGCTTCTTGCCTTGCTACAAACACTTCTGCTTTAACGATGCTTACAATTTGAGTACCTTTACAATGCGCGTCCGTTAGCAAAAAAAGCAAAACAGTAGAAAAGCATTGCTTCCCAAAAAATTTTAAGGTTTTTTTCCAGAGTAGTGTTCGCACCTACTAGCCCCTTGATGGAATAAAACAGAAAAGTAGCAAAAAGTCGTGGTTGTAACAGGTGAAAGTATTTTTGGCAGGTATTTGCAAGTAGGTGTTATAGTCTTATTTGGTCATCCCATGCAGTGAATCATTCAGTTCTCTGTAAACCGCTGCAAAACCACGAATATGTAGGAATTTTTGAGCAGATCATTGAATGGTTAGGAAACGTGAAAAGCGCTGAAAGAAAGGTTGCGTGCATCTGGATTTTGACTTTCCAATTCTCATAGACTGAGGTTACAAGACGCGGTTATCATCTATTACTCCATAGTTCACTGGCAGGACGGCGTCATGAAATGCGATGAGAATTAAAACGGAACTTTGACGCTTGATTTTTTAGAAAGTTAGCAGAAGGTGCATGGAAGAGTTTGAAACTACCGCAGGTGAATCAGGCTGAGAGTAAAAATTCCGCTTGAAAGGAAAGATAGGTTAATTTTTCGAAAAATGCGTTTTATTGTAATGGCACACTGAAGTGCAAAATCGCTCCGTAAAAAATACCAGAAGGCTCCACGCCTGACACTGTGCGCTGTGTCAGTTGCAGTCTGCAGCTCTACTACTTTCAGTAGTCTGTGAAATCATTCTAAAAAACAGTTAAAAGTCACTAATCAAAGAAAGAAACTCTTTTCATGATTTCTCTAGTTTAGAAGCAACTCATGTGATCCTTGATATGGTCATTGACTCTTGAAACTTCTGGCTGTAAGGTGTTAAAATTTTATTTTGTAAATACTTAGGGAGAGTAGGGTGTGTGAAGAGATCGGGAGGAAACTAGAGGGAGGGAGAACGAAGAAGATGTTCTGGCAAGGTTTCAAAAACTTGTTGTGATTACTTGACCCAGTTCCATGATGTTGCTGTCCTGTAAGAATGTTAGGAAAATAGAGCAGAACTAATATTTGGTTAGACTTGTATAAATTAGAGGTGTAATATAACACATTTTTTCAAACTTTGTGTCTGAGTATACGAGCAGATAAAGTCATGAGTTTCTGGAGCGAGCTAGTTGAGAAATAATTTTTGCTCAATTCTGTTTTCAGGTTATGTATTTAAGGTAATAGTATTTAAATATCAAAAAGCATACAGCTGTAAGACATCTTTTAGAGTTAAAGAGTACTGCTTTTTACAAGGGACAGAACAGATGTTCTTCTGATGAGAGGGATGGGAAATTGAAAAATAATGATTGTTTTAAGACTGGTTACGTTTGAGTTGCTATACCAATGCGAAAACCTGCGTTGGCTGCAAAAAAGGAAATAACTGAGTAAGATCTCTGTAAAGTAAATCTTTGTTTAACATTGTTCGGTTCTTAGATGTGCAGTTCACTTCTGTGAACAAAATCGTCATCATTCAATTGCCATTTGCGCCATGCTTAATCAGTGTTGATAAGCAGTACTATTTCGATGCATTTTCAGTTCGTGCTGCTTATTTAAGTTCAGCAGAGAACAGGAATTTGATTTTGTCTTGAGATGCACGCCGGATCTCAGGATCCTCAGTCGTCGTCAGCAAGTAACAACATCCATCGACCATCGTCTGGTCATGTTCACGATGAACGTCGGACGTACGTTCTCAACTTTGTGGTGCCTTTAATTTTGATTCATCTAGTAGTCTTCACTAAATTTAAACTGCTTTCAGGAAGACTGATTTTCTTTGCCATGTCCAGTACACTAATAACTTGCCAGATATTCCTTTCGATGCAAAATTCTTACCATGTCCATTTGTTTCTTTGAATCGGTAAGCTTCTTGCCAGTGCACATTTTGCCTCGTCTTATAATGTAGTTATTTGGTAATCGATTGGTTACAATTTAAATAGTTAGGTAATTAATTTTTGATGCTGTTCTTTGAAAGATATCATTGGTGACATAGTGATATCTCGATCACTTTTAGGCTGGTAGAATATAAACCAACTATGCTTGAAAAGAATTTTAAGTGGGAATTATTAACAGCCCCTGATCTCGGTGTAAGAATAGATTTAATTAATCCAGAGACTTATTATATCGACCCACATATGCAAAAGCGAGCGGTAAGAATCGCTCCTAGTTCCCATTGTAATTGCTTGATCTTTCTAGCTTACTTTTATAATGCTCTTTCGGTCTCATAAAATTACAGTTTCTAAATGACCTCATCTCTTTTTAGCATGACCCTATCGATCAAATGCTCCTTGAAGATGAAGAAACATATAACCAAAATTCGAGGCGGTAAGTTGTTTTTCAGTAAGTTTTTCGAGCTTTTACCATTTATAGAAACCAAATGATGCTTTTTTAACTACACTCTTTACAGCTCACAACAGCACAGTAAAATCGTACCGTGGATGAGGAAAACTGAATATATTAGCTCGGAGTTCCAGCGATTTGGTGTTGCTGCTGATAGGCAAGAAACTAAGGTGCGGTTTATTCGTTGATTGATTTTTATTTCATTTGCTGCAATAGCCTTTTTCCTAAATTTCTACCGTCGTTTTTAAAGAGTAACAAGATTCATCAATTTTCTAAGCATTAAAAGTAAGGAAGTTATGAGGTTTCAGGAACAAAAAATCATTTCGTACCTAACCTTCAAGTGTACAAGCAAAAATCCATTACTGTAATTTAGGTTGGATATAACATTAAAAAGAAGCTCAAGGAAGATTTTACTTATCGTGATCGTGCATCGCAGATTGAAGCAATAAAAAAAACTTTTGAAGATGTAATTTTTTTTTTTTTTTTTTTT